CTCATGAACGTTTCGGGTCGGACCCTGGGTCCGCGCCTATAAAATCATGGCTGTCGCGGGGAGGCGGTGCCGGCAGTGCTCTCGCTTGGCACGAGCAGTGCAACGGGGGGGAATAAGAAAGAAGAACAAGGCCGATGCGCGACCGCCACTGAGCTTGATACTCGTGCATGACGAGTTGGAGCTGGCGCCGGGAGAGCTGCGGATCCGCCGGGGAGGCGCTGAGCTATCGGCCCGCGGACATAATGGGATCAAAAGTGTGACGCAGAGTTTAGTCAAGGCTAATTTGCTGCCGGCGTCCTCTGCGTTGTCCAAGGGGGGAGGGAAGAACGGTGCTGCGGAGGACGTGGGTTTGCCGCCGATCCTGATCCGGGTGGGCATTGGAATTGGCAGGCCTGCGTCTCGCGATCCTAATACTGTGGCGGACTATGTTTTGCGGGAGATGCGTGCGGCTCAGTACCAGGAGACCTGTGCTCAGGCGGCGCCGTTTGCAGAGATTTTAGAGGCGGAAATGGTACGGATACAATCATGATTCCTTTCGTATTGAGTCTTGGATGGCGGGCATCGCAGGATGGCGTTTAGGAATTTGGCTTGGGATATACGGAGCGTTGCATAGAAGAAATACCCTATGATGCTTTTGCTATTTTTGGATTTACTATCTTGATCGTGTTAACGCAGAGGTCGCTTCATACCGTTGTTCAGACAGTATGACTTGTTAAAGACAACACTCTTTTTTTACCCACAGACGGTTCTATGTCAGCCTGACAATAAACAATCATGCCTCCCAAACCTCAACAGCTCTGATCGAGCATCAATTGAAATCGACTTTTGTCTAACCGGCTACAGCCTTGCCCGCTCTAGCTCTTTTTCTTTTACCCGCACCCATTTACGAATGACATCGACAAGCTTTTCCAATTCCTCCACTGAATTCCGCGCATGAAGGCATGCTCGAACCCGTTCGGTGCCGAGCGGCACGGTGGGTGACATTATCGCGCGCACCATTAGGCCTTCCTTTTGGCAGATCTTTGCCAGATCATGGGGAAATTTTGTCCTGAGCGAGAAGATAGGGGATGTGGGATGATGGTTGATGCATAGAATGGCGCTGCTTGCTGGTGCAATGTTGGCGAGGCTCGATCGAAGAAGCTCGATTCTCTGTTGCAGCTGCGCCTGGAGCTGTTCACGTTGCCCGTTGTTAGTTTAGAAGGCCCTAAAAGTCATGGAAGGGATGTAGGACGTACCGGCTCTGTTGCACCTTCAGCCATGAGCTCGTAGCTAGTACGGGTTGCAACCAGGCTGGGCAACCCAGTTGCACTGCTGAATATCAATGGACGTGCATAATTCGTCAAATACTCCCTTGTTATCGGGGCACATAGAACAATGGCTGGAGCAGAGTTAGCTTCCGTCTTCCGCGCTTTTGTAACGGATATTGGGAATGGCGACTCGTACCTCCATTGCTGGCGACAGCTTTGCCAAACGTATGCAATCTGATAAAGACCCTGTCCTCCACACCAAGACCTTGGACGATTCCTGCTCCGCGAGGCCCGAATATGCCCGTGGAGTGGGCTTCATCGACTATCAAGTGCCCATTGCTCAAGGGCAGCATTGATTCCAGCACGTCTAATATTTCTCGTATCGGTGCAAAGTCTCCCTCCATGCTGTAGAGCGACTCGACCGCCACGATGACATTGCGTTTCCCAGAACGTACCAAAGGATCCAGGTCTATTTCCTTTTGGAGCTTCTCTTGGAAATCCTCGACGGAATTATGCTTGAACGGCGTGCGTCTCCCGGCCCTGGAGAGTCGCATGCCATCATGCGTACTGGCATGGATCAACTCATCATACATGATGACATCTCCACGCTGCGGAATGCACGAATATATCCCGACATTGGCATCATATCCGGAATTGAACAGGCGGCCGCTGGGGGCATTGTGAAACCTGGCTAAAAACTCCTCTAGATCTTCGGCATAGTCGGTGTCCCCATCCAGTAGTCTGGAGCCGCTGCTGGCAATGCGGTGTGAATTGGATGTTTTGCAGAGATTGTCCAGGTACAGTTCACGGAACGCGGGTGAGATGGACAGAGACAGAAAGTCATTTGAAGAAAAGTCCGCGACGTCAGGAGGAAGCACCTTCAAGGCCCTGAGGCGTCCCTTGGCCCTTCTCTCCTCTAAGACGGCGCGAAAGGCTTCCAGGAGCGGATTTGTGGTCTTCATCACGGTCAACTAGATGGCAATGGGTGCTGACCATGGAAGAGAGGCTGGGAGCACAATTCCCAGGAACCCAGCAACTAAGCAAATATCGAGGAAATTAAAGGAACCTTGTGACGGAGCGAGGGACGTCCAGACACAAAAGCCTCGGATAATAAGCAGCAAGATATGTAATAGTTAACCAAGTCCAGGCGTTGGCGGCATCCCCGCTAAGGTGCAAGGAGCTTGTCCGATGCTGGCGATGATGGCGGACATGTTTGTTGACCGCCGGCGTGAGGCCAAAAACTGTTGGGAAAAGACGCAAAGATGAGACACCCAAAGGGCACCGCAGCGAATCGCAATAAATTCACGCGGTCGAAGCGCCCGTCCAGAGCCAGCGGCGTTCTTTGAATCGCAACCCCCAGCCCGGCGGCCAGGGTCCGTTGGATGGAGTCTTCCATGGGCATCGCTCCTCACTAGCAAACCTAGCACTCGATCGGCAGCGGGCTGCCAGGGCCGACCAGCAGCCTCTATATTTATGTTGACCTGGAGACCAGGGTCCGTTGGGCCAGTCTGCGCGTCATCACTCGACTGTCCCGGGTTCCCTCTTCACCGCGGGCGTCGCAGTCGCTCACCATGATCTCCTCGTTCGTCGGCAGCGGGCTCTGGCGCACTGCGCGTGCGTATCAGATCTACGGCGCCAACACGAACGTGGGAAAGACAGTTGTGTCGACCATCCTCTGCAAGGCAATTCCGTCGCGCCAGCCAGATGAGAAGCTTTGGTTCCTGAAGCCCGTGTCTACGGGACCTCTCGACGATGCAGATGATAGGTGCGTCGCCTGATTGTTGCCACCGTCTTGCATCGGCTGGGACGTGGATGCTGACACTGGCCGCCATTGGATGATATAGGCACATCAGCCGCTACGCAAAAGGGATCTCGACCAGATGTCTCTACCAGTTCGACGACCCTGTGAGCCCGCATCTTGCTGCTCGGACGAAACTGGTGAGCGGGCCCTGGAATTGTGTGGGACACAAACATTCAGTTAACTAATTGACTGCTTCCTCTCAGTGCCCTCCAGATAGCGAAATCCTCGAGGCAATCTCCAAGACCCTGAACAATTGGGCCCAGCAAGGTCCCGGCATCGCACTCGTTGAAACCGCTGGCGGAGTGCTTTCTCCGGGGCCCAACGGCAGCTTGCAAGCAGATTTATATCGGCCGCTACGGTTGCCTGTTGTCTTGGTCGGCGATTCTAGGCTGGGTGGAGTATCAGCGTCTATTTCCGCTTATGAATCTCTCTCGATTCGTGGGTACGACGTCGAAGGGGTCATTGTGTTTGAGGACCAGTACTACCAGAACCATGGATATCTACGGGATTTCTTTCACAAAAAGGGAGTCCAGCTGTACACACTGCCACAGCCGCCGGGCAAAGGAAGCCGGTGAAAGTTTGACCGCAGCCCCAAGGACGAGGAAGCAATGACTGCCTTCTATGAGCATGCATCTAGACACGATAGCATTGCTGCGCTCCTGGATGAACTCAAAATAAAGCACCAGCTCCGTGTTGAGCGGTTGGATAGCATGACTACCAGAGCCCACGAGACGATATGGTACCCTTTTACTCAGCATCATGGAATGACGCCAAAGAACATCACGGTGATCGATTCAGCCCATGATGATTGTTTCCAGACCCTGAAGTCTGACGCGAATTCAACCATCGACCAGACTTCCCACGCCGGCTCAGAACTATTACAGCCCACTTTCGATGGCTCAGCATCCTGGTGGACCCAAGGACTAGGTCATGGCAACCCTGAATTGGCTCTTACATCCGCCTATGCTGCTGGTCGCTATGGTCACGTCATGTTTGCAGGAAACATCCACGAGCCCGCACTGACACTAGCTGAACTGCTGCTCGACGCTACGCAGAATCCCCGGTTGAAGAAGGTGTTCTATACCGACAACGGAAGCACGGGAATGGAAGTGGCCGTGAAAATGGCGTTGCGGGCCGCCGCTGGTCGATATGGCTGGGATGCAAGCGCGGAAACTGTGAGCATTATCGGCCTCAAGGGCAGCTACCACGGCGACACGATTGGTGTGATGGATTGCTCTGAGCCTTCTACGTATAATAAGCGAGTGGAATGGTACAGAGGACGTGGTTATTGGTTTGATTTCCCCAAAGTACAAATGTCTAAGGGGATATGGAGCATTACGATTCCGGAAGAAATGAAGGCTTCTCTAGGGAGCGATGTTGAATTCCCCAGCCTATCCGCCATCTTCAATCTTCAAGCGCGACAGGATTCAAAACTTGCTCAAAAGTATAGAAGCTACATCAAAACTACTCTCGACGATCTGGTTGCAAAGCAAGGAATGAAATTCGGCGCTTTGATAATCGAGCCCATCATCCTCGGTGCTGGCGGCATGTTATTTTCGTAAGTACTCGAACAATCCATGGCCGGCACTCATTGAATTGCTGCTGAACTCCATTTCAGTGATCCCCTTTTCCAACAGTCTCTCATTCAAGTCATTCGCGAAAACCCTCGGATATTCACACAATCCTCTAACCCGTCGCCGTCGTCTCCGTCAACCAACTGGTCCAGTCTCCCCATCGTTTTCGACGAAGTTTTCACCGGCCTCTACCGTCTCGGTCGCCGCACCGCCGCCTCCTTCCTCCAAACCCATCCAGACATCGTCGTTAACGCCAAGCTCCTGACCGGCGGTCTGGTTCCTCTCTGCACCACCTTGGCGAGCAACGAGATTTTCCAGGCCTTTGACAGCCCACACAAGCATGACGCCCTACTTCACGGACACAGCTACACTGCGAATGCGCTTGGCTGCAGCGTGGCAGTTAGCTCGGTGCGGACGATGATGGATATGGAGGACAGCGGCTATTGGCGGGGATATTCCAGGGATTGGGACGAGCAGGGAACCCAGCAGGGAGAATCTCCTGTTGTCGATGCGGGCGGCCCGGCCGTGTGGAGTACATGGTCACAGGGCTTGGTGAGAGATTTATCGTTCGCGGCAGAGGTGGAGAGCATATTTGCGTTGGGGACTGTGTTGAGTATCACCTTGAAGGACAGCCAGGGTGGCGGAGGTCTGTGTTCTCTCTCCTTTCCTTTGTCTTGAGCCAATTTTTTGTGGCATTTTACTGATCCCTAGTCTATAGGCTACACGTCTACCGCTGCAAGCGGGCTACAGAAACAGTTGACCGCTGGACAGAACGGATTTAACGTGCATTCTAGAGTTCTGGGGAACGTGCTCTACCTCATGGCCAGTGTAACATCGAAAGCAGAAACGCTTTCGAGAATTGAAGGGCTCCTTCGAAAAGCGTTGCTTTAAAAAGTCTACCCTCCATAGTTCCGGTTGTATTAGACCTGTTAAAACTAGCTACTTCTCGCCGCATTATGGGCTTGACCCTGGGCATATAAACAGAGATGAAACAAAAAGATCTTTTCGCGCCCAAAATCCATAAATCTAATGCACGATCCTGACTTTTTTTTGTAAAAAAAAAAAAAAACGTGTTTATACATTCGCTTGCGCCTGGGACTTATCTTTGATCTGTTGCTGTTCCTGAACTCCAGAGGTAGCGGGATTCTCAGATGTCGCTTTTCCACGATATTGACCCCGCTCAAATGGCGGCATGGGATAGTACCCCCACCTGTCAAAAATCTTCTTGTCTTCTTCCCAGCCAGAGCAGTCTGTAGTCAACATCTTCTCTCCGGTGAAAATGGCGTTGGCGCCGGCCTGGAAACAGGTCACCTGCTGTTCTTCAGTCATGGAAATGCGCCCGGCCGCCAATCTGACGATAGAAATAGGCAGAACAATACGTGCTGTCGCGACGGTACGTAAGATCTTGTCGAAAGCGATCATTTTGCGGTCCCCGAGGGGTGTTCCTTTGATCGGTACCAGTGCGTTGACTGGGAATGATTCAGGATGAGAGGGTAGGGTGGCGACCGTATGTATCAATCCAACGCGGTCAGAGTCTTCTTCTCCCAATCCCAGAATACCACCAGAGCAAACATTGATCCCAGCATCGCGAACATGTCCGAGTGTTTGCAGTCGCTCGTCGTATGATCTTGTGGAGATGATTGATGGGTAAAATTCCCTCGACGTATCCAAATTGTGGTTGTACGCCGTCAGTCCCGCGTCCTTGAGCTCCTTTGCTTGATCGCCATCGATCATACCCAGGGTAACGCAGACTTCCATTCCCATAGATCGCACGCCAGAAACCATTTCTTTGATGTTTCGCAAATTGGTCTTCCGGCCGCGCATGTCACGCCAGGCGGCGCCCATGCAGAAACGGGTGCTACCATTCTCCTTGGCCACTCTTGCAGCTTCGAGAACGGAGTCGACGGGACTGAGTTTCGTGGCTTTCAGGCCTGTGTTGTAGCGGGACGATTGAGCGCAGTAGGAGCAATCTTCACTGCATCCACCAGTTTTGATATTCATGAGAGTGCACATTTGAATCGCCGCAGGATCGTGGAAGCGTCGGTGGATGGTGGCCTTGACATTACGGTATAAGCATTTACTACATCACAATGACCACCCGCTAGACATTGCTGCTAGCGATTGAATTCTTTGGGAGGGGGATAAACATACAGACGCATATGTCAGTTCATTCAATGGGGTATCATAAATCTTCTGAATCTCCTCGCGGGACCAGTCCATCCGAGGCCCAGTTGCCAACAAGGCACCCTGAAGGGCATTGTTTACCGGGGAGGACGGGCTTGCAACAAGAGGGATAACTGTGTTCTGCACTGTGCCATATGATCGGCGCAACAGTGACCGCGAAACAGCAACTCGGGGAAGGGATAACGCTGCCATTGCGGGTGATCTGGTGGTGTGTATAGAGTAGGTGACTGAGGCTTGTTTTGAGGGCCAGCCTCGAGAGACGTTTCCCCTCAATTGCAGCACACAGTTCCCCAGGATGACGAGGAGACCGCAATTAGTCAAAAGGTTCCGAGGGATCACTGTCTTCTCGGCGGCTGATGGTGGGGTAGTTTCGAGAGGGAGCTCCGTGGGCGCTGGTGTTGAGTTTGCTAGCCCGCACAAATCGTTAGCATTGCCCCAACAAAAAGACAACTCTCTATGCGCCAATGACGGTGGAGGTATTGCACAGCGCTTACCCGTGCCCTGGATTGCTCAACGCCCTTCCGATCACAGTCCTTGTCCGCAGATGTGCGTCTCTGATGCTGATTGACGTCGATGAAGTCCAGCGCTCCCGCTTTCGGCCACCGGACGGATGCGGTTCAAAGCGGCAATCCTCGGCTCCCATATCTGATTATGTCATCGTACATTAGTCATCAAGCTTGGTGCACTAGTCCGCATTCGGCATTGCTGTTTGTTCTGTTTGTTTCTTTCATATTCGTCTATTATTATATTCGTCTCTATTTCACAGAATCTACATGTAGGTATCATGATTGCCGTCTCGTCAGAGGCCGTCTCTTGCGCTCTAATTCTTCTGCTCGCTCCCTCTCAACTTCAGAAATCCGGTCGATCCTCGTTTAGCGAATGCCCACGAAATCTGGTTCGCAAGCTTGAAATCAACTCCCAGGTCTTCCGCAAACTTCCACACCACTGCAGGGTTCTTTTGGAACAATCTCCCCACTAACACCGCATCCAGACCCTCTCGCTCAAGCAAGTCGTTTGCTTGTTTGCCGTCTGTGATGCTTCCCACGGTTCCCACCGCGATCCGGTCTTTCACTGCCTTTTTCACGGCGATGGCGAAATGCGCCTGGAAAGCCGGGCCTAGTGTTATCCTCTGATCAGGATGATTACCTCCTGAACTAATATCAAGGAAATCCACCCCTCCTTTTTCCACTACCGCCTGCGCAAAACGCACGGTATCTTCCGACTTCCAGCTTGGCAAATCCGGGCGAGATTCCTCTAGCCAATCGCTTGCAGATACGCGGAGGAACAATGGCATGTCTTCGGGCATGTTTTGGCGGGAAATGTCAATAATCTCAAGAGTAAGTCGAATCCGATTTTCAAAACTTCCTCCGTATTCATCCGTGCGATTATTCGAAACCGGTGAGAGGAACGAGTACAGGAGATATCCGTGTGCGTTATGGATTTCGATATAGTCAAACCCAGCTTTAACCGCGCGTCGAACAGCTGCTCCCCACGCTTCTTTGAATTCTTCAATATCCGCTTTTGTCATCGCCTTGGGTTGGCCCATCCGGGTAGAATAAGGAATGTCACTGGGGCCTTTGATATCGTCCGGCCATCCGTTGGCTTCTTCCACGGCAATATCGCCCGTCGCAAGGAACGGGGCTAGGGTGCTTGCTTTCCGGCCCGCGTGCGCGAGTTGGACTCCAACGGTTTGACTCTGACTGTGGACAAATTCGACAAGGCGTCGCATGGGCTCGATTTGGGAATCCTTCCATAAACCCGCGTCTTCGGGGGAGATCCTGCCTTCTGGAAGGACAGAAGTAGCTTCAATCAGCATGAATCCAGGCCCGCGCAGTGCGATGCCGCCAATGTGAGCGATGTGCCAGTCTGTCAGATGTCCATCTTCGGAAGAATATTGACATAGAGGAGACAACTAAGAATAAATCTGTCAGCTAATCTCATTCAGAAGCACCCAACGGTACCCGTTTGGAAGCGTACCCCAATGCGATTCTGGAATGTTACACCCCGCAATTTTAGAGGTTGGAACAACTTGGGCGGCTTCGTTCCATCTGACTGGGGATCTGCCGCCGTACCAGCTCTGGGATTCTGATAAGGAGAGAAATAACTTATTCCAGGAGCAGCTTCATTCCGGACGCCTTCTAAACTCTTAGCCAAGGGCATTTTGAAGAACAATAGTAATTTCTTCGAAGCAAAGATATATCTATTCAGCAGGCTGAAGAATTATCCGCAAAGCAAAACCTTGAAAACTCGCTCGCAAAAAGCGCATACAAAGCACAATATATACAAGAAGAAGAAGCACTTGCTTTATAATCGAAAGAAAAAGAATTGAAAATTTTAGAAACGTACAGAAACAACCTGCGCGAGAATCCCCCGGCAAAAATCCGGGGACTTGATTACTAACTTCTGAGTAAATGCTCGTCATTTCGGCAATTCGAACAACCGAACAAGCCAATCAGAAACAAAAGGGCGGCAAAAAGGGTGAAAAAGCATGGATTTAACGGAAGAATGTATGCTGCAAAAAGTTCTGACAACAAAGCTCGATTATGCAATAAACCCGCCCATCTATGCCCTTGCCACATATTCCTAGTTTTCCTTTAGTATTAGGAATAAGCCATCTCCTTTTATTTCCTTAACTGTAAGCTGTTAAAAGGCAGGACAGTTGCTGAGAATTTGCCCCCAAGCTTAGGCGTTCGTATACCCGCAAGGGCAAATATTTATGGGCATTTAGTATTTGTAAGAGTGATATATGGTAGGGGCCTGTATGGCGGAACCATAAGAAAGCGAAGTCAAGCACGTTAAGGTCGAATTCAAAGGGTGCTCTTCCCCTATGACTTTGGATTCGGACACGTTAATATCTGTCCAAAGCAAAAGGTTTAAAAACACTTACCACAAGGAGTGAAGTTGGAAACCTCATTTCAAAAGTAGCACGGATGCAACGACTCAAAAGAGAGCAATATTATCCCCAATGGATCCGTTTGCGTGCAGACGGTAAACACCCTTGAAATGGTATATATTTAAGAGAGCTTAGTCCAACCGACGTTGGCAATTAGGTAGGTATTCTTATAGTAGAATGTTGCGATAGTGCCATAATATAGGCTTCCGGTATTCGAGCTCCAACTGAGTGTATAATCCGTGGTGGCTAGTTGCTCGAAAGGTTAAGAGCCACTTATAAGTACACTCCGAAACCTTCGGGCGAGTTGTCTAAACAAAAGTGAGTCAGAATTGGATTCAACAGTAACCGATCTGACGAAAGTCAGTGATGCGACGAAAGTGAATCAAACCTTTGAACATGTAAAGCAAATACTGCGACGAAAGCCAGTTATGTGACAGAACTTAATCAGAACAAGGACCAACTGTGACTGATCCGACGAAAGCCAGAAATGTCATAAAAGTGAAGCCAAACTGAGGTATCAATTCAGTGAAGGCCCTTTGTAATTAAAAGCCTATGCTCACTTGGCTGAAGAGTATTGTGATAGAGGTAAGTCACCTTAGAAAGCAGGAGGGAAGTGGCATAACAAAAGCCACTTGTCCCTGCATAGGTAATAGTATTGGTGAAAGCTGGCTCAAAGAATCTGCATCATATTAATTGAATGAGTGTGTGAGAAGAGGAAAGGAAGCCTTGGGAGGTCGACTGTAGGAACTCTGGGTATTTGGACAGAGGATCAACAAGCCACCCTTGAACCCGGTACCGGAGAGCTTTTGTGACAGCACACGGTTCAGGATTCAAGCTCATCCATGTCGGTTTTTATTCCATTTGGAAAGTGGGATGGTGTACTCTCCATGGCGATTTATATAAGGAGAATTGATAGGAATCTAGGCTTGGGAGGATGCACTGTAAAGTACATATAATGAGTTAGCTGATTTGTTGGAGTAAGATGTAAACAAAAGGTGAGGGAGCGGGTTTCTCACAAGTTTCAGGACCCGGCGCCTTTGGATATTTTTCGGAGTTGTCGTAGCTTGAATAAGGCCTCCCATGGGCCGTATAAGATTTTATTGTATTCCCAAGAATTCGTATGTCGATTCCGCTGAAATGTTGAAAGGACAATAGAGATTGATCAAGGAGAAGTTTAAAATATTTAAGAAATGCTGCTGGGCTTCTATGGCTGCCTGTCGTACCATGACTGTATCCGCTTCAGCGTCAATCATGTCGTGTTCAAGCAGGATCAGCCTTAATTCGCTCCTCAATCCGTGCAACGGTTTCGACAAGCTCCGCGTCTTCACAGAGATATCGCTCTCACTCGAGTACCGCACCGCGCGCGCGGTCATTCGCGGAAAACCTTTGGCTAAGTTTCAAGTAAAGGGAGCCAGTAAGTTTTGCGACAAGAATGCCATAAATGATACTGCGATGAAAGTTGTATGTTCCGACGAAAATGGTATGTTCTAAACAAAGTGATAAGTTGCAATAAATGACATATTATTGTGATAAAAGTGTTCTCCTGAGGGTATACAGTATGCAGGCCTCAGTTCCCATATTTCATGCTAGAGTAGCAACATAAAATAATATGCAGTTGCTTGCATTGTTAGGAGAAGCAGATGCCTGATATGGAGATGTGTAGAGGTTAGAACTTTGAGCTGCACAAAGGTGGGTTTTATAGTAGAAGAGAAGAAGGCTCTCCAGTGAAGGGTGAAGGTCACTTTTCAAATCACTAGGGGTGAGGGTCAAAATGTGAATATCCGACGAAAGGGAATGTGAAAGGAAAGTGAAGAATTTCCGACGAAAGTGAATGTTCCGACGAAAGTGAAATTTAATTCATATACCTGGTTTGACAATTAATATAGTGATGGTAACAGTGGAGAGGTGATAGAGCCAAGTCAGATATCAACTGTAGTATTGGAAAGGTGCACTTTGGGGATTTGTTTCAAAACAGGGCTTAGATGCTTTCATTTATCATCTGAGTTGCCGAAGGACAACTTTCTTGGTATAAAATTCCCATATGGGGGGCCACAGTGCCATAGTTCGCCAAAATAGGCAATCTATAAGGCTTTGAAAGTTCCATGTAACAGGAGGTCTTTGAGCCAAAGGTTTGGCGAAGCAGCCTTACGCTTCACGTAACCAGGGGAGCCAGACATTCACTTAGTATTAGGCGTATGGTAGCCAGATTATAGGACTTGGATTATAGTATTCCAATTGAGCCCGCAGTGAACGGCTCGAGAACCCGCCTAGATATCAGCTGGGATCTGGGATAGCTAACAGAATGATCCGAATTCGACCGCCTAAAAGGCAATGCCAATGGCTCACCTGTGAGAAAGGGATGTAACCTTCACCATGATGTCCAAAACACCGCCCCTCCTCAAGATTGCGAGAGACGTAATTTGAAAACTGGCGTGGTTAGGATCCAGTTTGGCTTACCCGGGTGATTAGACGGGGCATTTTTCGGCGCATCAAGGAATTGTCCCCAGGTGCGGAATTCGCCATCGCCGCTTCACGGAAGTGATGCATCCGCCAGGACACTTCACGTTCCGTCTCCGGAAACTCTCAATCCAACAAGCTGTATCGGATATTGAAAGTTGAAGTGAATCTCAAACGTGAACACTGGGCTTGATAGGCTTCCGTGGGCAACCTTGAAGACTCGAGCTTCAGCCTTATGAAAATGATCTATGACGCTTTCCCTCCCTGTGTTCCTGGTATATCGTGATTAAATCCCGGGTAGAATGGAGGATGAACATGAGCATTTCGCTCATTACTTCCTCTATTTAGAGCACCTCTCTCGACCGGTCAGGCTTGGATAGCCCACAGGACTCACTAACGGTACAATGCCGCTGCCAATACAGGTACCGCCCCAAATCGATCCACCACCGCCTTACCCGGCGAGGTATCACAGAGCGGAGGGTGAGCATGAGCACCTAAGAGTGTTTCGGGGAACTTTCACGGTTTGTGTTCCTTGCCAGTATCACATCGTCGATAACTGACCACGATTGATAGATTGGAAACCGAGAACTTGAAACGTCTGGGACTTATGATTCGCGTCACAGGTAACTAATTGAACGAAACTCGCTCACAGGCGTTTGCTTTGTCTTTGTCTGAATCAATTAGTCGTCTGCGTCTGGCATCGTTCCGCGCGCGGATGAAAGTAGACGCGATGAATCCCCTTTCGCACAGAATTATCCCATCCATGTCAGTTGACGGCTAATGTCGAGCTGGGCTGCAGCGCCGTATTCAGTTTTGAAGACCACCCGGCCAGGCGACCCAGCGACGCGCCAAATGCAAATGCAAATGCAAATGCAACGGCAACGGCACGCATCCACCCCACAGTACGCGCAGACTGTCCGAATTTAGTGAGGCCAGGGTTATCTCCAATACAAAGAGTACGAACGCCGGAAAGGCTGGATGGGGCGCGCCAACAGTGGCTGGAAGACAGGCTGTCGATGGAGCAGCGCCTCCGGGTCGAAAAGGAGAACAATCAGAAGCTGAGAGAGTGGATCATCAAGGAGAGGAGAGAGATGCGAAAAGAGGTGCAAGACCGAGTGCACGAGCTGCGGATGGCGGAGGGTGTCAAGAATGAGAATGCGTCGTTGAAGGAGGAGATTGAGCAGCTAAAGCGTCGCCTTGCCAGATGCGAGGTGGACGAGCAAACAGACGACGAAGACTGATTTGATAGCGATGTTGATTAGCAAAGCCAGCCTAGCAGATAATAATAATTGATGAGACTCACTTTTGATGCCGAAACCGACGTCGTGGAAGATCGCCAGCCAGGGTCTGCGGCGGTATTCCGTGGCACCAGCCGGCTGTTTTTCCCGCTGGGATGCTGCAGGCGATCAACATTCCGAGCTCGTATCCTTAAGAGCCGCGTCCCTTGCATTCGCAGCGCCTCCTGCATGAATCACGCACCAACAATAACCAACCATGGCCTCTCCCAACCTCGAGCTCTACGGCTACTTCCGCTCCTCGTGCTCCGGCCGCCTGCGCCTCGCCCTGCACCTCAAGTCGCTTCCCTACACCCGCCACCCCGTCAACCTGCTCAAAGGCGACCAGCTAGCCGACGCCTACAGAGCCCTCAACCCAACCAACACCGTCCCGCTCCTCGTCGTGTCCAACCTCCCCGACAACCCGTCCCCGTCCTTCGCGTCTTTCACCATCGGCCAATCCGTCGCCGCCCTCGAATTCCTCGAAGAAGCCTTTCCCAACGCCCGCCCGCTTCTGCCCCCGCTCTCGAACCTCGCCGCGCGCGCTCACGTCCGCTCCATCTGCCTCGTTATCGCCTGCGACGTGCAGCCCGTGACGAACCTCAAGATCCAGAAGAGAGTCAAGGCGCTCAGCGGTGATCCGGCTGTCTGGTCGCGCGAGCTCTCTGAGCAAGGGTTCGGTGCGGTGGAGAAGCTGCTGGAGCGCAGTGCAGGCCGGTTCTGTGTGGGCGATGAGATTACGCTGGCCGATGTGTGTCTAGTTCCGGCCATCTGGTCTGCGCAGCGGGTGGGGATGGATCTGGCGCAGTTCCCGAATGTGAAGAGGGTGTTTGAGGAGATGTTGAAGGAGGAGGCCGTCCAGATGGGACATTGGCAGAAACAAGAGGACACGCCAGAGGAATTGAGGGCATGATTGTGATTTTATGATTTTCTTTTCCTAACTTATTGGTGGAGGTTCTCTGGGGAGGCTCAGTGACAACTTTTCAAACAAAACTGGGGATTGCTTCGGGTGTCTTCGTCTCAGATTTCTACTTAAAGGATACGGAGTAGCTTTACGGAGTATTGTCTAATCAATCGATAGTTTTCGTCATCATTTTTTAAGCCGTTAACAAAACCCATATGTAACGTCAATCAAAACACATTTACATGAATTCTAATCCAGCAACCAATCCATCAGTTGATCTGATGACCGGGCTCAATGACAGCAAAGCAATCGCCGAACCCAACATAGCTTCCCTCCTGGCCTGCCATTCCTCTCAGGGTGACCTCATCGCCATCCTCCAAGAACTTCCGCTCCGAGCCATCGGCCAATTTGATGGCAGTCTTTCCGCCGTTGGTGTTCTCCAACAGACTGCCGAACATGCCGGGCTCAGTTCCAGAAATGGTGCCGGAGCCGAGCAGGTCACCGGTGTTCATGTTGCAGCCCGTGACGGAGTGGTGGGCCAGCATCTGCGAGAAAGACCAGAGCAGGTTGTTCGCGTTGGTCTTGGCGACAGAGGTTGGCTGGCCGCCCTTGTTCTTCAATTCGAACTCCAGCTTGATGTCGTATGCGGAGTCGGGTCTCTTTTCGCGGAGGTAGGGGAGGATCGACTCACGGTTTGCCGGCTCCAAACCCTGGGTGCGGAACGGCTCGAGAGCGTCCATGAGGACGATCCAGGGGGTGATAGTGGTTGCAAAGTTTTTGGCGTTGAACGGACCGAGCGGGATGTATTCCCAAGCTTGGATATCACGGGCAGACCAGTCATTCATCAGCACGACACCGAACAGGTGGTCTTCCGCCTCAGCAATGGGAACTGGATCACCCATCTTGTTGGGGGTGGCAACAAAAGCAGCCAGCTCCAGTTCAATGTCCAGTCTCTTGCAGGGAGAGAAGACGGGCACCTTGGGGTCCGCGGCGGGGTTGGCCAAGATCTGGCCGTTGGGACGGCGGATGGGAGTGCCCGAAACAACCACAGACGAGGCACGGCCGTGATAGCCAACTGGAAGATGCTTGTAGTTGGGCTGCAAGGCGTTATCGGGGCCACGGAAGAGCACACCAACATTGTAGGCGTGGTTGAGGCCAGCGTAGAAATCGGTGTAGTCGCCAATCTTCATGGGCAGGTGGTTGGTGGCATCCTTGCGGGGGATAAGCGCAGTCTTCTTGAGCTCCTCATTGTCCTTCAAAACCTCGGGGTGCGAGGTGTTGGCCCGGAAGATGTCCTGCAGGTACTCGCGGACCTGACGGTGCACTGGTCGCCCCAGCGCAGCAAACTCGTTGAGTACGGGCTGCGCAAAGACATCAATGTGCGGCTGGAAGGCAGGCAGCTTCGAGAAACCGCCGGCGGAAGCAAACGTGAAGAGATCCAAGGCATAGTCACCAATGGCAATGGCGGGCCGCGGGGTTGCGGAAGGAGCGGTGGAGATGACGCCAAAGGGGATATTGGCCAGCGAGAAGGGGGAGCTGGCGGGGATGTCCAGCCACGATTGAGAAGCCATGGTGCCCGACGGTGCAGCAGAGAAGAGGCGGACGGAGGTGGTGATGGAGCAGGACAGATACGCGGTGAGGGAGGGAGACCTGGAGCAGAGCAAATGGACGCAGTGCAGCGACCGCATGGCGTTGATTAAGAAGCGCATTTCTGGTTCTTGCATGTTGACTAATCGCGGGGTGCAGCCCCTCCATTTGAGTGCAGCCAATCGCACGCCGTTCCGCCCTGACTGCTTACCTCATCCCGCCAGCCAATCAGCCTCTTCCAAGCGCGGGGAAGTGCGGAATTCGCCCGCCCGGCTAGTTGCGGGATTACGTCATCGCTGCGGGGTGTTTACGCCGAAAGGGGTTTAGCGCAGCCCCGAGAGGTCGGAAATAACGGGATTGCTCCCCGATCCAAAGATACCGCGATCGTGCTGCGGCTGCCCGCCAATTCCCAGGTATCAGGCGATGGGCTGTCGCTTCGGCTCCGGCTCTATCGCGGTATTAATAAGATACATCGCCCTTTTTGACGACAGCAGCCCAGACTCCAATTCCAATCGCCCCCGGCAGATAATCGTCGTTGCACAAGAGAATCAACTGTCAGAATGCCCGTCTCCAATTTCTCAGCCCCCGAGAAATACTCCTACCTGAACGGCTTCGGCTCCTATCACGAGTGTGTCCCCCATGATCCTTATATCGCGACCCCAGGGCTAACACGTAGGGCAGAACCGAAGCTATCAAGGGTGCTCTTCCCGTCGCACAGAACTCGCCCCAGAAGCCCCCACTGGGCCTCTACGCTGAGAAGCTCTCCGGAACAGCCTTTACCGCTCCCAGGCACGAGAACCAGCAATCATGGCTCTATCGAATCCTGCCCTCGGCCGCACATGAGCCATTCGAGGATGTAGACCCTTCCACATATCACACGTCGCTGACCAAGGACGCCTCGTCACTGCGCCAGATCCCCAATCAGCTCCGCTGGAACCCATTCGATCTCGATGAGAATGTCGACTGGGTGCGTGGATTGCATTTGGTCGCAGGTGCCGGTGACCCAACGACCAAGACCGGTTTGGGCATCCTGCTTTTCGCTGCCGGCAAAGACATGGGCAACGAAGCCTTTTATTCCGCCGATGGTGACTTCCTGATCGTTGCCCAGCACGGTGTCTTGGATATTCAGACAGAATTGGGCCGCATTCTCGTGCGACCAAATGAGATCTGCATTATCCCTCGTGGTATCAGGTAGGTTCCAGGAGTTGTAGTGCCTTTTTTTTTGTTTTTGGGGCTCCATGTGCTCACACCGTCTCAGATACCGTGTGACCCTCCCTGAAGGCCCGGTCCGTGGCTACATCTGTGAGCTCTACCAGGGTCACTACCAGCTCCCTGAACTTGGCCCCATCGGCTCCAACTGTCTCGCCAATGCCCGTGATTTCCAGGCTCCCACGGCTTATTTCGAGGACGAAGGCGAAGAACCCACCGAATGGAAACTCATTAGCAAATTCAACAACAACCTCTTCTGCGCCAAACAAAACCACACCCCCTTCGACGTTGTCGCCTGGCACGGCAACTACTACCCATACAAATACGACCTCGGCCGCTTCAACACCATTGGCTCCATCTCCTACGACCATCCCGATCCCTCCATCTTCACCGTCCTCACCGGCCCCTCAGATCACGTCGGCACCGCAATTGCTGACTTTGTCATCTTCCCTCCGCGCTGGCTTGTCGCCGAGGATACCTTCCGCCCTCCGTGGTACCACCGCAACACCATGTCTGAATTCATGGGTTTGATTTGCGGAGACTATGATGCCAAAGTGGGCGGTGGCTTCAGACCCGCGGGAGCCAGTTTACATAACGTCATGAGCTCCCACGGCCCTGATGCCTCAGCGCACGAGGGTGCTAGTAACATGGAATTGGTGCCGAAGAAGGTCGGCGAAGGGAGCATGGCATTCATGTTTGAGAGGTAAGGTTGCCCCGCCATTATGATATAATCTCGATCTAGACGAACTCACATGTGATAATAAAATCTAGTTGCCTGATGGTTGGTGTCTCTGAATGGGGCCTCAAGACCTGCGAGAAGGTGCAGGAAGATTACAATGACGAGAGCTGGACTCCATTGAAGAGACACTTCAAGAACCCGGAAAAGAACTAACCCTTTGTACTACCCTTGAAATACTTTCTCCGGCCCTTTTTTTTTTTTTTCTACACTTGGGAGGCTAGATTGAGTTATGACAATCAGTCACAGGTCTCCTGCCAGGGAAAAAAAAATTGTATATAGCTTAATACTCATGATCTATCTCCTTCTACGTCATCCTGGCTATCTCTTCAATCTACAACCGCCTCTACGGGTTAGTGGGTGAAATGAGTTGGTTTGGTTAAATGACCGAGATGTTTGTTTGCCGGCGATGCATGACTCTGTTTGTGATTTCGCCCTGCCCGGTTCTGTGGATGGCCAGCCCGGTCGTGAACCTCAAGCATCGATTCCGTGAAACCCCTTGCTGTGACACAAATGTGCCACCTGCATAGAGGTGTGATATCTCGCATGGTGCTAAAAGCACAGGGCAGGAATCACCCGTCGCTGTCCCGGGGGCTGGTTGACTTCATGTGAAAATCATAAAATCACGTATTGCATGATTGGTGCTCTATGTGTTTATTGGTCATATCGGTCGTCAATATAAAATATGTATGTACAGCAAAATATCCGAAATAGCCGCTTTATAGCCAAGCAAAGTGAAAGCAGGTAGTGTCACAAATGAGAAAAAAACGGGGCCTCGATCCACGGTATCGCGCTCACCGAAAAGGCCAGGGCGAAAGTGCTCTGTAGAACAATCAACTTCCCAACTACCTCAGGTCTGCCCACTCCTTGATCTCCGCCTTCATCGCATCCTTGACAATGGCACCGCACATTTTCGCGTACGGGTTGGTATGTACCGCCATCTGCTTCGCCACTGGATTTCCGTATCTTCCTCCCGCCTGAAAATCAAAGCTTGCCAACTCCTCTAGCCGGTCGTCGCTCGCGTCTTGTAGAGTGGGCGGGAGGAATTGGTTTCGGCCGTCTGCGGAGGAAGGGTCGGTACGAGCGGCCTTGTAAAGAATGTAAGCGCGGTGGGTGTACGCGTTGGCCAAGATGCGTGCTTGGAGTGGCGAGACGGGTGATGTTGGGGTGTTTGGGGTTAGGAGGGTGATAGCGTCGGCGAGGTCGGAGAAGATCTGTGAGACTGGCGTTGGCGTAGTTGCTGGTGCTGATAACGAGGAGGAAGACGGCTCTTTGCTTTCAGCGTCGACGAGTAGACGGTATGCTTGAGCGCGATTCACATAGGCCGAAGCATATTTGGGGTGGTCTGTGATCAGCGCTGACAGTTCGGAGATAGTTGTTTTGATGGCGTCGATTGAGGGAGAGGCATCTGTAGTTTGTATGCGGCGGATCGCTTGTATTTCGCGCTCTTGAAGGGCGGGCAGTTCAGACTCAGAGATATGCGGGAGTGGAGGGAGTGATTCGTCGGTCTGTGCCGTCGACGACGCTGGTGAAGGAGACGATTCTGCGTCGAAAAGCGCCTGAAGAACTTTGGAGTCGTTTGACGAGAGGTTTGGCTTCGCTGCCCCGGCTGCGAACGGTGATGGCGCCATGTTGGTCTGATTGAAAGCTCGTGGGTTCAGATGAAAGGGTTGGAGTGAAGGAAGTTTTTTGCGACTTTGGGTGTCGTCACAAGGA